TGCCAGATCCTTGCTTAATAAGATGCCTTTGCTTCAGACTCAGCTGTTCGTCCATTGTCCAGATATTGTTTTAGTAACTGAGACATGGACATCAGCCTGCGCAACTGACTCCGAACTCTCTCTTCTAGGCTATAATTGCATCCGAAATGATCGCCAAGATAGCCGTGGTGGGGGCAGCTGCGTCTACGTTAAGCAAACACTTACATTTTTGCCGTTGGACCTCCCGCATTTTTCCGCAGTAGAAGGCAGCTGCTGGCTCCAGGTTGCACTAAAATATAAGTTCTCCTTACTCGTTGGCTGCATCTATCATCCGAAGACTTTCTTGAGGCTGTGGATGTTGGGATCTGGAATCAGGTTGTCGATTTTCCGATCCGAGGCTTAAGCATACTTGACCTGATTTTCTGTAGAGGCTGCATGCCATCGTCGGTGTCATCCCTAGGCCCAGTCGGGGGCTCAGACCATGACATAGTTGTTTCAACGTTGAAATTCGAGGCTGACAAAACGCTTCCCTAAAGTGTAACTTTTTCCGCGATCTCCGATCAACTCGCTCAACCGAATTATTAACACACCTTAATTCCTACGACTGGACTGATTTCTTCCTTAGTTCGGATGTTTGCACTGCAAATCTGTACGAAATTTTGAATCCGCTTATTTCTCGTTTTGTCCCCCGTAAGAAAATTATTAATGTTGGGTATGAGGTTTTCCTACCCTTACCCTTTCATCGCAGATTGCGCAGGCTTTATCGTCGTTTCCATCTTCAGAACGATGTTTCTGTTCTGCCCTTGATTTGTGATATTTTTGATCGAGCTAAGAGATTGTCTGAAGAAAAACAGCTAGCCGAAGGGGTGCAGTTTACCGAAAACCATTCGTTAAATATCTCGAAACTTTTATCTATAAAAATACGAACTCACCGAAAGACGCAGCATCCCATCCTCCGAGACGCTCTTGGAACTTCCATAGTTGATGACCAGTTAACCGCGGATAACTTCAATGATTTCCTGTCCAAATCGTTCACTGAAGACTCGACCACTCCGCTTCCGACCACCCAGCCATTGAACGATGCACTTCTAGAAACTATACCTTTCACTCTGTGGGATGCGACTGTTGCGATTCGGCGTTTTCGTCAATCTTGTAGTTCAGGCCCTGATGGTGTCCCAGTGAGCATTTTCAAAGCCGATGCAAACACGATTTTCCCATCCCTCTTATTTAAGATATTTAATCTTGCTCTTGAAAGTGAAACTTATCCTACCTTGTGGAAGGAATCACACATTTTGCCCATTCCTAAGCACGGCAAATCTACATCATTTGATGACTTTTGGCCAATAAACACCCTCCCCGCAGTTTCGAAGATCTTAGAGATATTGATCAAAGAGAAGATGATGTGTCAGTTAACGGTGAATAACTTACTGAGGTTTGTTCAGCATGGATTCCTCAAAGCTCGATCTTGTAACACCTGTCAACTCTCCTTCTTTGACTATTTTCTCCAATCTAGGGACACTGGTTTTGCACTTTACACATTATATTTCGATTTCACCAAGCCTTTTGATCGTGTTGACCATGCTCTTCTTCTCTTGAAACTGTCCTCTTTCGGAATAGGTGGCAAACTTTTAAACTTTATATCCACTTACCTGGGCACTCGTACACAACGTGTTAAGATTTCCAATACCATCTCCAACCCCACACGTGTGAGGAGTGGAGTCATTCAGGGTAGTGTACTCGGCCCACTTCTATTTTGCTTTTCGTTAATGATGTACCCGATTTATTTCAGAATGGTAAGCCTTTCATGTATGCCGATGATCTTAAAGTTGCATATCGATATAAGCCGGCAGATCGTGACATCGTGCTTGAGCTCCTAATGAGCGATCTACAGGCAATCGCCCGGTGGTGCCGCACATGGCGCCTTTCTCTTTCTTGGCATAAGTGCTCAGTCATGGTGGTTGGCGACGACCACCAACCTCAACTGAGTATTAAAGATCACGCCATAAATGTTCCTGGAGTTATTAAGGATCTGGGTGTATCATACTCCAGGAGTCTCAAGCTCTCGGAGCACTGTGTCTTGATAGTCTCCAATGCACGTAGAACGACCGGGTTTATCCTCTGAAACTTTATAATTAGGAACATTAGAATGCTTCTTTACAGCATGTACGTTAGAACTGGTCTGGAAAACGGTTCGTTTTTGACTCAAAAAGATTACTAAATTAAGGTTGTAACATTGATCAATGTACAAGATAATTTAGATGAGTAAAAGAAGGAATATTTATACGCATGCTCTCCAGGAAATATTGTCAAATATATAAGGCCATCGAAAATCAGTGAGAAAAAATGCATACAACTTAGGTAGTAAGTCGTTACAGAGTGTAGTTTTTGCAGACGGCTGAAAAAACGTTCGTT